GGGGTTGGTTGCTGGGACATTCCCTGGTCCTTGAACCCGGCTCGTATACTAGCTGCTTTGTTAAAAATAATAATAAATCATAAATAAATAAATAAATAAATAAATAAAGTTTGCCTGAGATAATCCACACACAGATAATTGAGTCACAGGCCAGGGAGCATAGCCATCCACATGGTCAGACGTAACGTCAGATAGATAGATAGCCCGGCCAGGGAGCTACCGTCTTCCCCCCGGCACAACTCACCATCATCATGACTGCAGCAGGCCGGAAAGATAGCTAGTACACATTCATAATCAGGGTGGGTTGTGTTTGAGGGAAGACGGTGGCGTTGCCTTTCCACACACAAGCAGATATACACACTTGCACCGACAGAGAATAGAACAGACACCAAAGACCTGCATTCAGAGATGGGCCAATCTTTTTGAGTTGCTTTCTCATGCCTTGTGTTCAGACACTGTGCTGGCGTCATGATGAGGAAACTTCCGCGATGGTCCCTTTGTCCCCTGAACTGAGCTGTATTTGTACACAACATCACAAAATGTGCAGAGCAAAACCCAAAACCAAACGGCCGTTGATCAGTCTATGTTCCCACCAACATCAACAGAAAGAGGATAGTAGCTATATAGTATATACACTGCACTCTGCCAAGTATGAAGCTCAGAATCCAAAGCAGATACAGATTAAAAAATATTAAAAAGTCAATAAAAACTTAAAAAAATAATTTAAAACTACTTAAAAAGTTAAAAACGCTCTTGCCGTTTACCTATTGCGTTGGATGGATGTCCAGGCTGGCACCTAGCAATCTTAAGATTCTTATCAACAAAAACCTGAATGCTGACCCATTCCATGTTGCAGACTGGTACACACATGTGAATGTGCATGAATGGATTGTGATTTCGAAATTCAAATCCTGCAAATATCACATGTATACAATAACATTATGGGCTAGCCCGTTTGGGAAAAAAAAAAAAAAAAAACACGAACGCCTAATAAAGAGGGTTGCAGAGATGGCAAAAGTGAGGGAATGCCGGAAAGGAAGAAGAGACGAGATACCCTCCCTTCTTCTCTCTCTTCCTCTACTGGAGCAGGTACTAGGCCAATCTGCTCAAGAATGCAAGAGTTGTTTCGATGACGATCATGGGGATGGGAAGACTGCAGATAACTTCATTTTGCATGATAGACGCAACGATTATCAAATGAAGCTGCTTCTGTGCCGGTGTTCAAACGGAAGGATTATAAAACAAACCTGTTTCCATGCCAGTGTTTAAATGGAGGAGTACCTGACTGCCTTATGGCTGGATGGTACACACCTGACTGTGGATCAACAGATTATGAGCGTAAAAGACCTGGTAGATCAGACAATGTCATCTGGAATGTGCTGAGGATAAATGCTTGAGAATCCCACAGTCGCCGGTGGGAGTTCGGGGCAGGAGTTGGAGGACTAAAATGTGCTGAGACCTGTTTATGAGCATAAAAGACCATAGCTACGCTGGATCCGCACGCCAGACCAATCCGAACATCCTTCTGGACCTCTGTCCAGATGGCTCCAGACCTTCCGGATTGACCCTGCGCCTCCCCCGCGCCCCCCCCCCCCCCCTTTCAACCCCCCCCCCAAAAAAAAAGAAAACGTTTTCATTTTTCTTCTCGTATTTGACTGTGAATCTGGAGGTGATCCTCGGGCAAAAGATTTGTGGACTGCAATTAAGTCAGATTTTTTTTTTCTGGGGGGGGGGGGGGGGGGGGGGGGGGGGGCAGACCCAGATGCTCTGGAACGGACACCGGACCCAGACCGTCTGCACTGCAATCCGGACGTCCAGATCGCAGCCATGTTTAAGACCTAGCCTAGTACATAAAACAATGCTATTTGGAATGTGCTGAGGATAGGTGCTCGGGCATCCCACAGTCGCTGGCTGGAGTTCGGGGCTGGAGTTGGGAGGACTGGAAAGTGCCAAGACCTGCTGATGTTAGAAGCTTGAAGAAAACAAGAAGGAGAAGGATTGAACAGAGAAGATAACTTTGCCTGATCCAGACAATCACAGCTGAATAGAAAAAGGACTCTCGCGTACCTACCTTACAGCTGAATGGTACACGTGTGTAACTGTTGATCAACAGATCATGAGTTCAAACTCTGATAGAGAACAACAACGTTGGGGGATAAAGAAAAAGGGAGGAAGGAAAAAAGAGAGACTTACACCCTGACCATACTGCAGTGCAGCCCCACTGATGGAACGATGCACAAAGAAGGCTCATGCACTGCACTTGAGACAAGTCACAAAACTAATCATGATCACCTCAACAAATCCAGGAGGCCAGAGGATGGTGGATTCATTGGATTGGATGGACACAAGCAGCCTCGAAGCTGCTGCCCTCTCATTAAAAATGAAAGCACAAAAACGCCTGACATTAGTGATTAATCATCCTATTAAAACGCTCATAAGCACAGGGCAAAAGAATTACAGCAGATCCATACGGCACATTGCGCATTGACATATAAGCACTGCCAGTTGTTGGAACGCCATCCTACAGTGGCAAGCCCAGGAAAAGCGGAGTGATGAGTCAGAAACAGGATCAGCGGGTCTGATCAGGTTCCCTTCTCCAAGAGTACGGGGATCCTATGACTCAGACAAAAAAAAAGGGACGGTATACCTTCCTTGCCCTTTTTGCTAACATCAAGTAAGTTCAGCATCTTTTGTAATCAGCTTAATATCCAATCCATCAACCATTGGAGGAAGAGCAGGGGGAGGAGAGAGGGTAGGGGGGGGGGGGGGGGGGGGGGGGGGGGGGGGGGTTGTGGGCGTAAATTCGGTACGAAAGCTCGACTGAGTTTTCAGGCCCACAACACCCCTGTCACAATGCGCCCGGATCCCTCCCGAGGCAGATCATGCACCAGGCCATTCACACGTCCAGGTACATTATGGGGGAGACGTTCCAGCCAGTAAGATGAATGGGATGCGTGCTGTTGCATGCCTTCAACATTATATCAGGCCAGACTCACCCTTCGACTTACTTCATCTGACGTCAGCTAGGGGCATGCCAACATCTTAGTCATCCCCCGGGTGAGCTGCTCTGACCAGCAAGGGGCAGCCAAGACATGCTGAACTTATTGCAACTCTTGCTTGACCGGTAGCTAGAGTCAATGGTAGGATGAGCTATACCTTCTTCCCCGGAATACAACGTACGGTCATTATAGCTGTATATAGACTGAAAGATACCCCAAATACAGCTATAATGACCGTACGGCGTACGTTATATTTGGGGGAAGGAGTGTTTCCCTCCTTTGATCTTGCCTGGTTACAACCACCTGGAGGGTCCCGAGAGATGCCGTGTGGGAAAGTGGATGATCATTCTATGGCCGTGCCGTGCTGGGGTGGATATTATGGTGTATGGCTCCACTTTTGAACTCCAGTTCATGATTGCGAGGGTTAAGGCATCGGGCTGTTGAGACAGAGATCGCAGACTCGATTCCATGAAGAATCACATCAAAGCATACCGAGCAGCAGAAGAAGACTCACGTCAACGAGTACCGACCAGCAGATCTTATGGCCTCGCCACATCACTCCCAAATCCCAAAAAAAAAAATTGGGAGTGCTCTCAGAACCTTGAGAGCAGGGGAAAATGTTCGAGAGCGCCCCTTGAACTGAGCACTCTCAAACGGCAGAAGCATGGGATACAGCGCAAGGACGGAAAAGACAGGGTAAAAAAACAAAAAAAGGCTGGCAGGAGATGGTTGTCTACCCAGACCCGCTCACGAGTTTTCGGGCCGGAACCGGCCCTCCGCAAGAGGTCTCTCGAAATTGAAGTCATGCAGGCAGACGGAGAAGGCCGGTTTCGGGAGTGCTCTCGAGGGCCGAACTCTGACAACATCCGAATTGAATCTGGCAAACGATTTTGGGTGTAATGAACCTCCCAGTTCACCACCAATGAGTGCACACAATCACACACCGTGCACAAATGAGATTACACGAAGTTCACACTGGAGGCCAGAGAGACGAAGATCAGGTAAGCGTAGCTTTAGAATTCCAGCAAATTATCATACAAGCAATTACGAGTTCCAGTCACCAGCGCTCAACAACGCAGATCCAAGTAACCAGAATCTTCATTCAGGTAAGTATCTCTTTCATTGCTCTTCTCTCTCCTCTCTGAGTCTTCTCTCTGTCTACTGCCTCCCTGTGTCCTCTCTCCCTACTTGCATGCACTCACACTCTCTACTACTCAAGGACCAACTCTGAATACACCCACTGCTAACTCTACTAACCCCTCTGAGGTCTACTACTAACTACTAGCACTGGCGCAGCTATGGCTGCCTTCCCTCTGCCAGCGCTGGGCAGCTATGGCTGCTCCCTCTCTCTTCCCTCTAACAGCGCAGCTCCCTGGCTCAGCGCTCCGCCCCTCACAATAGCGCACAAGTGCGCCAGCACTTCCACACTTCATGTGAGTGAGCAATCTGCCAAATGAGGAGGCTGGCCAGTCCTTATATTGTCTTGGACTGAGCTTCAACTCATCCCAGCCTCTGCTTCTTGGGGCTTGACTTGGTTCTGGTCCCACATCCCCACGGCCTGTTTACTTCAGAATGTCAGGCCTGCTACTGTTCCCGAATTTTCATTGGTGTGCTGCTGCCTGGGCCTTTGAGCCACGACTTTTCGATTGTGGCACATGACTTTTGACTGTGGTTTGTGACTCCTGCTTCTGCGGCACGACTTTTGCCTGTGGAGTGTCCTTCGCCCGTGGGTTGTGACTTTCCAATATGACTTTTCATTATGAGAAGTGATTTTTGCCCTTGGGATGTGACTGTTCGCCGGCCCTGTTGGACTTGACTGCTAAGGTACCCGACTGTGACTTTTCTGAAACTGACCGACTTGGCCTTTCTTGGCCCCGGCCTCTGACCCTGAAACTCGAATTTGGGGTCCCAATCGTAGAAGGCCTTTCACGGGAGCTGGTGTGGTGACGCACCACTCCCGGAATTGCCTGCCTGGTTTCAGGAGTGGTGTGGCGAGGCCCTTACTGCAGCCACTACCTGAGTCATCATGCGGCAGTAAGTAGCTAAAGAGCCATACCTGGACCAGATGGCTATTTAAGGAGAGCCCATGTGCTGCGCAGGAGGGACTCGTTGCTGTCGTGTGGGAGTGGGTGACCGATCATACTGAAGCCATGCAGGGGATGGGTGGATGTGGTGACCAGTACGGTTCCAGTTTCGAATACTGAGTCACAATTTCAGTGACTAAGGCATCCAGCTGTTGAGCCCGAGATTGCCAGGTCGATCTCGTGCACGGTCAGATCAAAGTGCAATGAACAGCACAGAAAGGACACAGAGACCAAACAGAGAGAGAGAGAGCCGTACCTGGACCAGATGGCTATTTGAGTCGTACCGTGTTGACTCCTGACAAATCTCTTTTTTTTTTACTCCTGACAAATCTCCACGATTCACTTTTGCCAAGTTGGGCCTGAGTCCTGATTTTCCTAAAAGTCCACCACCTCTTCCTGTGGGCACAAGTCGCCTCTTTTTTTTACCCTTGAACCTGTACCTATTTTCCAAAGGACTTTTCTGAGGCCCATCTGGGCAGGAGACGTGACTACTGGCACCTGAATCTGGACTATAGACCGAACGTTACGACGCTGGACTTTGTCTGTAGAACTTTTTGACTGGGTTCTTTGCACTTCCTCTCTGGACTTGGACCAAAAGTTACGACCCTCAACTGCGCCTGTGGTTCCTGGATATCACCCTTTCCAGACTGGTCTTCCCCCTTGCTCGTGAGGACATCAAACCCTTTGGGAATAGTTTTACTGTGGATGGTTCTCTCGCAGAGATCAGGACCCCTTTATCTCTGCATCATAGGCCCCTGCGGACATCAACTACCGTCTTTTCACCTGACTAAAGCGCCTGGTCGTTTTATCCGTATATAGACTGAAAGTTGCCCCAAATACAACTATAACGACCCAGTGTTCTATTCGCGTAAAGATAGGTAAAATCGAGATGTTCCATTCGAGCCCCACTGTCACATTTACGTGGTTTCGTTGTCAACACGACTTCTACGTCGTTGCACATCTACAGATACACGACCATACCCTTCGGCTCGCAATCTTTTTTTTTTTTTTTTTAAGCTCGCAATCTGTTACAGTTGTTTTGTTCTTTCCTCTATCAGACACAAAGACACATTTCGTTACTTCTATCAGACACAAAGACACATTTCGTTACTTCTATCAGACACAAAGACACATTTCGTTCGTTTAGATACCGATGCATCATTGACCTTGGCCATACACCAATCTGGGACAACTACTTTCATCCTGACATCTGTTCATTTGTTTCTATCGAAGATGTATGTACACGGTATGAAGCAAAATACAATTCCTGGAGAGAGAGACTGCAAGAGGGAAACGTTAGAAGAAGAAGCAGAGGCATTCAAAGAGGTGTATGAGAGAAGAGGAGGACATAACTCCAAGGCAATGAAGCACAAGACGCAGCAGAGAGGGCAAAGCGAGAATTACAGGGTAAGAGAGAGAGAGAGAGAGAGAGAGAGAGAGAGAGAGAGAGAGAGGATGATGATGTGAATGCTTGTGGAGGTAAGTACAGGTCAGCGAATACTCTAGGAATGCTGCATGAACGCTATCGTTGATGCAGCAGAACATCCTGGAGTGTCAAAAGAAGGCTTTGTGGGATGTTGCTGCCACAAAGCCTGGCTGCAGAATGTGATAAAAGTTCATAAAACACAAATGGGAAGTACTGAAAAATGATGGGTCTGTTAAACATCTGTTGACGAAAGCAACAAAATGATGCGTCTGGACAGGTCAGTCGATAGAGAGGCTAGGCAGTCACGAGCAGCTTCATGCACCCCTATTACACACGTTTACAACTCGTCCTACGAGTGTAATTTCATCCTTGTTTTTTTTTTCTCACTTTTATTTGTTATTGGGTAGATCCCGGCATTGGTTCTTGTGTGTGGCATTCACATAAAGCATGCAAACATTAGGCACAAGTCTTTGATGTCACTTGGCAACAAAACACTTCACTCAGTTCACTGTCTGCTAGGGAGTTCAATAATTACACAGATGAAAAGCTTCTATCAATGATACAACAGATTTGATCACAAAAACTGATTTCAATTGTGCTCCCAAGCAAAAAGACTTTGATTGTAAAGATTGATTTTGATGATGTTTCCCAAGACAAGATCAGCACGACCACTGCCACAGTTTTCATGTGTACCATTCATAAAAAAGGCTTACAAGTTACAGCGATAAATAGTAAATACCAAAGATTGAATTGAAAACAATGAAAAAACTTCAAAAAAGGTTATATCACATCACACGCCTTGCGATAGGACTTTGGATAGTCTAAAGACTCTAAACTTCTCTAAAGGTATGCTATATAGGTGGCCCAGGAGGCTAAATGGGCCATTCAAACTCCAAATGGCTGAGTCCCAGGGGATTTTCCAAAAACTGACGCCCACATCTACAACAGCCTGGGCGTTTTAGAGGAGTGGGGGGGGGAAGACTTAAAAAAGGTTATATCACGTCACTTCGTTAGACACATGCGTACAACGTACCCAAGGCATACATGCAAGCGGACGCCGTGCGGAAAATTCCGCACGTTTGGCGCACGAGCGGACCCGCGCAGGGGAAATATTCACTCAAAAAACGAAAGGGGTCGCAACGGTCACCTGCACCCCCTTTAAAGATTTGTTGTGGGATGGAAAGCAAAAAAACAAAACTAGCAGGAGGATAATGCCGCTACCTAAAAGGTCAAGAGTGATGTCCCAGACACCTTTTTCTGGGGCTGTTTCTCATGCCCAACTGGACGGATAGAAAAATCTGTACGACTGTACTTGAAAAATATCAGTTCCTTAGGTGTTTGTTGCACTCTTCTGCATCTACAAAACCAGCAAAAAAAAACAACCAAAACGGAAACTGCCGCTGGTACAGAGCCCGAGCAGGTGCCGCGCCGCACTGGACGGTACGGCGCACAGTGCGGTTGCAAGTATGATCCAAGGCCACGAAATGTTACCTACCTACTCCTCCGAACACAATATCCTTATCCTTAGTGAAGATAAATTCCACTAGATGACCCGTTGCGGCTTTGCCCGCAAAAACAGAAAAAGAAAAAAGCACAAAAGAAAGAAAACGCATAAGGAACTGCCCTATCATATGCCGCTTCTTTCACAATAAGAAAAAGAAGAGCCTGAGAGCAGATGAAAACCCGCGCGCAAGAAAATAGCACGGAATACCACCGAACATTCTTTTTTCTTTATCTTTGCGTGTTTTGTTTGGGGAGCTGCTACCTTTGCAGCATCGTTTTTGTTTTGTTCTGAGAAAATCCAGTCCGTCTTCCAGTTGATGTTTTTGGTAAAGATTCAGAATCAGACTTTGTTTGCTGTGTTCACTGGATATGTTTGTGATCAAGCGATCTTGCATGTATGCCCCGTGCTTACTTGTTGATTTTTGACGCTATGTGTGCAAGTGCATGCGCGTGTGGGTGAGTCTCAGTTTGGTGGGCTCCGATGATGTCAGTGATGATTGGCCCGGGGAAGGTGTTGGAAGGCGCCTCCAACTATAGGAGTGCTGCTGATGTTAAGCAGGTTTTGCATTGTATGAATGAAACAATCAGCATTCAATCTGCTTGGCAGTTGCTCTTCGGGTGGTGGACTTGTCGGGAGTAGCATTGCCATGAGAGCCATAATGCCGGCGTGCATCTTGGAAAATTTCCAGGAAGGCAAAAGGCAAAAAAGAAA